TAAACAATGTTACAACGAATACACTACTTCATAAATGCAATATTATTTGTAACTTCTACGTACATACATTTCCAAATATATATTTCACCACAAGCAATATCATTGTTAATAATATACAATATTACTTGTGCGTAAATTTTCAAAGATTTTGCCAATATAAATGCCGATGAAATTCCTGAAGAATTGCTTTCGCTTCTAAAAATGGCCACGGGAATCGAAATACTTTCACGAGCCTAATCGCGTGCAAAAGTGCCGGTACGTATGTCCATTTTTCGGGACTAACAATAAGATTACAATCGTGCAAGCGAGGTCGCTTAGGTATTACACACGCTTGCATCGCATGCATCGTTAATCCTCGAAACTCCGCGGCCGTTTCGTTGACACCGGCGACGTTCCAATTTCACGGCGTTTATCGGGACCAATTTTCGTAGCCAGTCGACGGACGCAAAGCTGAATGAGTTTGAAATTATCTGATAAGCGGCGCACCTTTGTTATCCGTGGAAATTATGGTCGCGCTGGAATCGCGATGTAGATGTGATTGTAGATGTAATTTGTCACGGTTGTCCCATCAATTTTTACCTACGCGTGCCAATGGAAAATTTCAAATCTCCTCTGCATCCAGCTCGGAGATGTTGCAAGAAGGAGATCTCTGGAAGGTTGTTGCGTTTAATCGTCGACTTTGTTACGTGATAAGAAATATTAATCCTTGGAAAACGAACCAAGAAAATTCCCTTTTTTCAACTCTTTTTTGGAGTTGGAAAATATCGAATTCACACTTGGAAGATCTTCTTTCTACTCAACTCAGAGACATGTTGATAGAAAGACAAAAGTATATTTAGTTGCGTGGTAAGAAATATTAATTCTTGGAAAGTCAGCCAAGATCTGTTTCGAGCTGGGAAATTTCAAGTTCATATTTGGATTTGAAAAGTTTCAAATCTTCTTTGTACACGATTTGAGGATGTTAATAGAAGGATAAGAGTGTCTGGAAGATTGCGTTTAATTGTCGATTTCGTTGCATGATAAGGGATATTAACCCTTGAAAAATCGACGAACGATCAAAGATCTTTCTGGAGTTGGTCTTCAAATCGCGGCTGAATTTGTTACTAAATGTTTCAGAGATGATCACTGATTTTTATGAAAAATTTTTTTCTTCTTTTAGATTTATAAATTTAGTATTTATTTCATATGTTTTACTATAAATTTAGCGATTTATTCTATACGAATGAATAACATTGAAATTGTTTTCAACCAAGTTTGACAACATTGAGATTTCTTACAAAATACATGAACAAATTACTCCATCTAAATTCATTTATTCACTATTCAATTTTCACACCCGATATCCCACTTTTTCTCTCATTCTTCCCGCCAGATAAGCGAAAGGAAAGGAAAAAAGGAAAAAAAAAAAAAACACGATCAAAGCGCGTAACGCGAGTAAACGAGACACAGCAGGAGCAGCTCGTATAAAACGCCAGCTCGACGAACATTAGATCCTACTTAAAGGCTTAGACAGACAGATAAACAGATAGATAGATAGACAGACGGTGGAGATACATATGCTTGTATAGTTGCATGTACCCGGCAGGTATAGTCGGTCGTGTCACTTGCGCTAGCTGCGCTACATATAAGGCTGTTTCGTAATTTAACGCGACCTTATTAGCAGGATGAAGGCACACGAATAACCGGCGGTGTGTTCTGATTTCCAGCAACTCTCCTTTCCATCTACGCAATCCAGCCATGGATCGGCAGGATTTACGTTCAGCCTTTCCGGCAATCAAGACATCGGCGGCCCTCAGGCTGGTTTCGAATGTATCCAGCAAACCAGCGCTAGGTAAGCGACTCGTTATTAACATCGTGTACCATTTGCAACAAGCGGCTGCTGCACTTTTTCCACGTTTTTGTTATAGTTACGTAGTAGAGAAATGATCTCTAAACACGCGATAACCATCTCGAACCAAAATTGAACTCTCACCACCTTTGACTCGTGCTCTGACGATTTTACTCTGATAACGATAGTGATTATCAGTTGTCGCGGAAGTTCAGAATTATTTCACTTATTTTACTCAAATACGAAATAATGTCTTAAATTATTTTCATTTTTTGACACTTTAATACAAATCGAATAGATATTTTCTTTCTTATTATAATAAATATCTTATTTATTTAGATATTATTTATAACTTAACACTAAACCTACCGGCATATTTTACATATACCTATCTTACCATAAGGGGTCAAATGAATTCTTCTCGGTAAAGAATAAGCTAAGAGAAAAATAGAAAACGAGAAACTGAATAATCAGATGATGTAAGAATTTACAAAAAGTCAGATTAGCGAAAGGAATAACAACGAATGTACGATTTTCAAGTAAATTTTGAAAAACGGGTCATTTGACCCCTGCTTGGTACGTTTAGTGTTAAATAGTTATTTAAATTTAAATAATACTCTTTCTTACTTGTATTCTTTTCAGTTGATTCAAGTATCATTTGTGGGACTTGTATATCTCGATAATTTAAAAAAAAAAAAAAAAAAAAGTAACAAACAGTTCGTGTTATTATTTTATTGAAGAGCTAATTACTAAAAAAATTAACTAAACAGACGCATTTACGGCTTTCGTGTTCGTCGATTAAATTCCAACCCAAGTGGTTAACAGAAATCTTTCACTTTCTTGGCGTAAAAAGTAGGTAGCCCCAAGTGAAAGTTTATTAACACAGACGTTAATTGACAATATTTATAACATATTCAACTGCTTTTTTGTTGATTCACTAAAATTACCTGGAAAGTGGAGTTGCTTCCTTGTTTGCAATAGCAGGATCTTCAATGATTTATAAATTACGGATTTTTATGCAGTTATGTAGTTTATTGTAGTAAATTATTTGTTTTTTAGTAGCAGTAAACTATTATTACTGTAATAAATTATTTGCACATCGTTGTGTCTATTATAACATTTAACACGCAATGCGTATTTCATTCTGTATCAATTTTTATTAATATTCTATCAATCATTGATACGCATGTAACTAAATTGATATATCTCTTGATCCTTTTTAATACTAAACCCGTAGAAAAGTGAACATTTCGTTTGTAAGTAGTACCATCGAATGGTATTTTCAATATAAAATATGAAATATAAAAACTTCGATATCAATGAGAAGATAAGTACGAGAACCTGAGAGAAAGAAAAAAGAAACGTATGACA